CAGACAACCTGCCTGCTACAGCGCCCTGCGAGCCGACGAGCTGCGGCCACTTGCCGGCCCTGAGCCCGTGGTGGCCACCAGCACCGGGCCACTGTCGCGGTAAGACCTCCCCAAGGAGCCCCCCGGGACGCTCCAGCAATGGTGGCTCTGTCTGAGCATCGTACCATGGGTGCCACCCCCAGCTGCTGTGGGTGGATGCAGCCTTGCAGGTCCTCCCTGGTTTGGTGGGGATGGATGTCCATTAGAAGAGGGGTCAGTGGTGACAAGTAGCTTTATAAGAGGGGACGGTGGTGGCATTTTCCCAGCCCAGGGAGAGGAATAGGGGAGGGGTCTGTGTTCGGGCGCACTAGTGCATCCATGTCACCGTGCCCAGGAGGGGACAAGGCACACCCAGCCAAGCTGGGCTGGTGGCCGGGATGGAGCGGGCAACGGGCACCTGTTCCCTGGGAAGTGATCTGGGGACATCCCAGGGTGACAATCACAGCCAGGCTGGGATGGGGTCCTCATCCCAGTGCCTGAGATGGGGACAGAGCTGGGTGCCAGCACCACACCGGTCCCTCCAGCTCCTCTTTCACCTGGCTGTAACCCAGCTCCTGTCCCCATAAATATTGCATGGCAAAGGGTTGGGTTGCCAGCCTGATGGCAGGCTGGGAGCGAAAAAACAAAAGACATTTTTAGGCTAAAAATAGCAAATGGGATTTTTTTTTTTCCCTGGCATGGTGCAGGCATGATGACCTCAAGGAGATGCTCGATAGCAACAAGGATTCGCTCAAGCTGGAGGCCATGAAGAGGATCGTGGCGGTGGGTGTTACTGCCACCAGCGGGGACCACTGCTGGTGCCAAGGGAGCCGTGCCGTGCTGTGCTGTGGCGGCCAACGCACATTACGCTGCTCCTTTACCCCTTAGATGATTGCCCGGGGAAAAAACGCCTCTGACCTCTTCCCAGCTGTGGTGAAAAATGTCGCCTGCAAGAACATTGAGGTGAGGAAGGTCTTGGGTGGCCCCGGCAGCACCCATGGGTGTCTCCAGGGTCTGGTGCCTCTCCTGCAGGAGGGTTTTGGGGATGGGCTGGGTTTTGGGGAGCTCTGAGGTGGCCCCACCACTTTCACCCCACAGGTGAAGAAGCTGGTGTATGTCTACCTGGTGCGCTACGCAGAGGAGCAGCAGGATCTGGCCTTGCTCTCCATCTCCACCTTCCAGCGAGGACTCAAGGTGAGCTGGTGTTGGGACTCAGGGAGGGGTCAGGGGAACAACGAGCTCCCCCACTGCAACGCTGCAGCCCCCCGCATGTTCCCACAGGACCCCAACCAGCTAATCCGCGCCAGCGCCTTGCGGGTCCTCTCTAGCATCCGCGTGCCCATCATCGTGCCCATCATGATGTTGGCCATCAAGGAGGCCGCCTCAGACATGTCCCCGTATGTGCGCAAGACGGCGGCCCACGCCATCCCCAAGCTGTACAGGTAATGAGGGGTCAGCTGCTAAATTTTAAGGGTACAAATAAGGGTCCAGTGCTGGGGTTCACAGCTGCTTGGTGCAGGCACGGACGGGCAGGAATGGGGAGGAGTTCGATCTGGCTGCACCTGCGCTGCTCTTCCCTTGCAGCCTCGACTCAGACCAGAAGGACCAGCTCATTGAAGTGATCGAGAAGCTGCTGGCAGACAAGACCACGGTGAGCGGAGTGCCACATCTCCCCTGCCTTTAAATCTGGGGATGTCACCATCCCCGCTGACAGAGCTTCCTCATGGGAATGCAGATGTCCCCATCAAATTGCTGTCCTCATGAGGATGCAGCCATGCATGCAGAGTAGGCATCCTTGCAGTGATGTTGCTGTCCCCACTGAGCCAGCATCCTCACGGGGATGCAGACGTCTCCACCAAACTGGCATTCTCGTGGGAATGCAGCCATCCCTGCACAGCTGGGGCCAACATCCTTGTGGGGATCCCACCATCTCCACTGATCCGGCATCCCCATGAGGAAGACACCATCCTCACCCAACCAGCATCCTCTGTCCCCACCGAGCTGGCATCTTCATAGAGCTACAGCCATCCCTGCCAACCCAGCTTCCTCGTGTGGATGCCACTGTGCCCACTGATCAAGCATCCTCACAAGGATGCCACCATCCCCATCAAGCCAGCATCATGATGAAGATGCCACCACCCCAGTCAGTCACCCTGGGCTTTTCTTCCACAGCTGGTGGCCGGCAGCGTGGTGATGGCATTCGAGGAGGTCTGCCCAGAGCGCATCGACCTCATCCACAAGAACTACCGCAAGCTCTGCAACCTACTCATTGACGTGGAGGAGTGGGGGCAGGTGGTCATCATCAACATGCTGACCCGTTATGCGCGCACCCAGTTCCTCAGCCCCAACCAGAATGTGAGTGCAGGAGCCACGGGGTGCCCTGGGAGCCTTGGGGTGCCCTGGGACCCCTCGGGGAGGTGGGGTGAAGAGGGGGTGCTGTTAGGGAGGTGCAAGGTGTCCCACCTACCAGCAGGAGTCCTTGCTGGAAGAAAGCACCGAGAAAGCTTTCTACGGCTCCGAGGAGGAGGATGCCAAGGACGCCAAGGCAGAGGCAGCCTCGTTGGCCAAACGCAAGCCCTACGTCATGGACCCTGACCACCGCCTGCTCCTGCGCAACACCAAGCCCCTGCTGCAGAGCCGCAATGCCGCAGTGAGCCCCCTACTCCAGCCCTGTCTGTCCCCCAAGGCCACTGGTGGTGTCCATCAGCCTGGGCTCATGATGTCCCCACTGGCCAAGGAGTCACTGGGGTGCTTGATGGAGACCCAGGGATGGGCATCCTTAGGGTCAGCCTTCCTCCAGGTGCTGCCGGGTGGGACTCTGGGGGACACAGCCATCCCTTGGAGTGTCCTTGTGCCCACCGGGTGATGCTTGGTTGTGTCCCTGCAGGTGGTGATGGCCGTGGCACAGCTCTACTTCCACCTAGCACCCAAGGCGGAGGTTGGCGTCATTGCCAAGGCGCTGGTGCGACTCCTGCGGAGTCACAGGTCTGTGGCACCCGGGTTGCAGTGGTCCCCTACCCCGCCACCGCAGTTGGTTGGATCCATAGGGAGCCCCCAAGACCCTGGGAGCGACCCCCAAAAAGCCCATCCCTGCAGGGATGTTGGATTGGGGCAAATTGCCAAAAAAGTGGACTTTTTGGCCCGGCCCATCCCAGACATGAGGTGGCAGCATCGTGGTGGCACCAGCTGGGTAGCGGGTCCTGCCCCATCTTCACAGAGACTTGCTGGGGGGGTGCAGCCCTGCCCCACTGATGGTGGTCCCCTCTTTGTTCCCACAGCGAGGTGCAGTATGTCGTGCTGCAGAACGTGGCCACGATGTCCATCAAACGGCGGGTGAGTCTCCGACTCGGTGTGGGAGGAGTTGGCCCTGTTGACTCTGGAGTGGAATGAGGGCTAGCCTGCAGGGTCACCAGGGCCAGCTGCCTGCAGGTGGCCTCGGTGAGGGGAGAACAGGGATGGCACTAACGCTGCTGGCTCTGCATGCAGGGGATGTTTGAGCCTTACCTGAAGAGCTTCTACATCCGCTCCACAGACCCCACGCAGATCAAGATCCTCAAGGTGAGTTGGAAACACCTGGCAGAACCTGTCACTGGTGGCTTTGGGGCTTCATGGAGTCCTTCCCTGTGGGGCAGCTGTCCACCATGCCCTGGGGACGGAAGGACAGCAAGGACCCCATGCCCTGGCACCATGTCCCCATGCTGGCCATCTCTTCCTCTTTCCTGCAGCTGGAGGTCCTCACCAACCTGGCCAATGAGACCAACATCTCCACCATCCTGCGGGAGTTCCAGGTATGCCATGGCCATACTGAGGCCACCGGGGAGCCACCCTGGCATGGCTCTGGGTGTCAAAACACCACCATGGAGGGGACAGAGGACACTCCCACCAGGAGGAGTGGACTGAGGCCATGCCAACCCCATGGGTGGCTCCGAAGAGCCCCAATGTGTGTTGACCACATTGGGGGGATGCCCGGCACTGGCATATGGGTGACATGTCCTGTGTCCCCACCATGCCTGCGCAGACCTACATCCGCAGCATGGACAAGGACTTCGTGGCGGCCACCATCCAAGCCATCGGGCGCTGTGCTACCAACATCGGGAAGGTGCGGGACACCTGTCTCAATGGCCTGGTCCAGCTCCTCTCCAACCGGGATGGTGAGCACACGTGGTGGGGATGAAACAGGGGCTCCATTGGTCTCGGGGCAGGACCTTGCTGAGGCTGGGTCTCTGCTGCAGAGCTAGTGGTGGCTGAATCCGTGGTGGTCATCAAAAAGCTGCTGCAGATGCAGCCGGCCCAGCACAGTGAGATCATCAAGCACATGGCCAAGCTCACTGACAACATCCAGGTGGGTTGGGGCGTTGCATGGCCCCCAGGACCGGGGGAGTGGCAGCGGTGCCATGTGCCCAGGGGCATTTTGCAGGTGCCGATGGCGCGGGCCAGCATCTTGTGGCTCATCGGCGAGTACTGTGAGCACGTGCCCAAGATAGCGCCCGATGTGCTGCGTAAGATGGCCAAGTCCTTCACCAATGAGGAGGACATCGTCAAGCTGCAGGTCATCAACCTGGCAGCTAAGCTCTACCTGACCAACTCCAAGCAGGTACCAGGGATGTGGCCTCACGGCATGCCTCAGTTTCCCCACCGGGGAGGGAGAGGCTGGCCCTGAGCATGTCCCCTGGCACAGAGCAAGCTGCTGACCCAGTACGTCCTCAACTTGGCCAAGTATGATCAGAATTATGACATCCGTGACCGGGCTCGCTTCATCCGCCAGCTCATCGTGCCCACTGAGAAGAGCGGAGCCCTCAACAAGTACGCCAAGAAGCTCTTCCTGGCCCAAAAACCTGCTCCCATCTTGGAGTCCTCCTTCAAAGGTACCCACCCCCAGTCACAGGGCATGGCGACACAGCACGAGCCGTCACCACAGTGCTGCATGGCTGTCCCCGAGCTGCTGCCACCTCTTGTCCCGCTGTAGATCGGGATCATTTCCAGCTGGGTTCCCTGTCCCACCTGCTCAATGCTAAGGCTGTGGGCTACCAGGAGCTGCCTGACTGGCCAGACGAGGCCCCCGACCCCTCTGTGAGGAACGTGGAGGTGCGTGGAGCACCCTGGGGTGCTGGGGTGCATGGGGAGGCTGAGGTGGGGGCATCACCTCGAGGTCTTGGAAGAGCCCCAGAAGGTGCTCAGGTGCTGCTCAGCTGCCCCATGTCCCCTCTCTGGTGCCCTCACACTCGCTTGGGGACAAGGGCAGCTGTTTGGGCCCCCCACCCAAGGGCGATAGCTCTGCTCCATCAACCCTGTGCCAGCAGGTTCCTGAGTGGACCAAGTGCACCAGCCGAGAGAAGAGGAAGGAGAAGGTGGAGAAACCTTTCTACTCCGACTCAGAGGGAGAGTCGGGGCCCACAGAGTCGGCAGACAGTGGTGAGGACCTGGTGGCATGGCAGGGCATCGGGCAGGGGTCACTGTGGCAGGGACATCAGGCAGGTGCCACCACGGTAGGGCATGGGGCAGGGGACACTGCAGTGGGGACATCCCATCGTGGTGGGGACATGGCAGGGGACACAGAGGGATGTGGCAGGGGGATGCCGGGATGCGGTGGGGGGGAAGCAGGGATGTGGCGGGGGGCTGTGGGGACACAGTGGGGTGCAGTGGGAAGCGCAGTGGAGATGCAGTGGAGGGGTTGGAGGGGGGCGGGGATGCAGCAGGATGCAGTGGGAGGACACAGGGATGCAGCAGGATGCAGAGGGAGGCAGTGGATGTGGGGATGCAGTGGAGAAGCAGTAGGAGGATCTGGAGATGCAGTGAGATGCAGTGGAGAGGCACAGGTATGCATCAGAAGGACAGAGGGATGCAGTGGGAGGATGCAGTGAAGGGATGCAGGGGAGCAGCAGGATGCAGTGGGGAGGCAGCAGTGGGTGAGGGGGCACAGTGGGATGCAGTGGAAGGATGGGGGAATGCAGTGGGACACAGCAGGGAGCTGCGGGGACGGGGGGAATGATGAATTTCTGCTTCCCTTTTGGCTGGCAGAGGATTTGGGATCTTTTAGACTCTAGCAGGCAGGATGGGGAGAGCAGTGAAACCCGAAGAGGAGGAGGAGGAAGAGGAGGAGGAAGGCAGTGGGGAACAGTCAGAGGACAAGGAGGAGGAGGAGAAGAGGCCGAAGAGGAAGGAGAAGGAAGGGTCCCGGAAAGCAGCCCCGGGCAGGTACCCCCTGGGAAGGCGGGGTGCCCCTGGCTGAACCTCTGCCCCAGTCCCCCTGAGCCAGGCTCTCCCTGCAGCCCCAGCGAGGAAGAGGAGGAGGAGGAGGAGGGGGTGAAGAAGGCCAAGAAGAAGGCGGCACAGCAGGGCAGGAAGGGCCATGCTGAGACCTCATCAGAGGAGGCCAGCGCCTCCGAGAGCAGCTCCTCAGGCGGTTCTGAGGCAGAGGCCAAGCGGAAGAAGGCGGTGAGGGCCGGGCTGGGCTGAGGGGCAGTGCAAGGACCCCCAGACCTCCCCATTCACCCCTGTCCCATCTCTGTGCCCCCTCACAGCCCCCCAGCAGCAGGGCCGGCCCCAAGGAGATCTCCCTGCTTGACCTGGATGACTGTGAGTGGCTGCCTGGGGCATGCAGCATAGCTGTCACAGTGGTGCTGGGGAAACTGAGGCACAGGCACCCACCCCTGTGGGGTCAGGGTCCCGCAGGTCCTTTTGAGGGCTGCTGAGTGGGAGGGGAACTGGTGGGGTGAGCAGTCCTTGTCTCCAGAGGATGGTTGTGGGACAGGTGGCTGTGCTGACATGGCTGTCCCCATGGGGCTGTGCCTGTAGGATTGTCCCCATGGGGCTGTGCCACCAGGGCTGTCCCCACAGGGCTATGCTGCTGAGGCTGTCCCCATGGGGCAGTGGCTCATCAGAGCTCCACTAACCCGTTCCTCCCCCCACACCCCGCAGTCACCCCTCCTCCTCCCCAGCCCATCCCCTCCAGCAGCATCGTCTCCACCAGCCTGGTGACTGACCTGGAGGGCCTCACGCTCACCGACACATCCTTGGCACCTGCTGTAAGTGTCCCCAGTGTCCTTCCTGGGGGGCTCCTGGGATACCTGCCACCCACGGGGGCTGCAGGGAGGGGGTTGGCATCTCACACCAGTCCCTCGGTCCCTCACAGATGCTGAGCCCGGCGTTCAGCACAGTGAGAACCTACGAACTGCTGCATCGCATGGCAGGAGAGGGGCTCTCAGTTGAGTACTGCTTCAGCCGCCGCCCCTTCCCAGGGGACCCGCACATGGTGGCCGTCCAGATCCAGATCTCCAACAACACTGACGCCGAGGTGAAGAGCCTGCGGGTCAGTGAGCCCAAGCCGCTCTCTGGCATGCGGATCCAGGAGTTCCCCGAGATCGGTATGGCATGGCATGGCACGGCCGCGATGCTGCGGGGGGTACGGGGACAGGGGTTGGCTGGTGGAGGGGACATGGGATGCAGTAGCAGCCCTGTGGTTTCAGAGTGCCTGGCGCCTGGGGACACGGCCAGCGTGGTGATGGGCATTGACTTCTGCGACTCCACTCAGGCGGCCAACTTCCAGCTGTGGTGAGCGCCCGGCACCGGGCAGGACAGGATGGGTGTCCCAGGGGATGGGGACAGCGTGGGGTGCTCCAGGGATGGGACAGCCGGGCAGGGCACGGGTGCTCCAAGGGATGGGGAAAGTGGGATGGGCACCAATATTCCTCCAGGCGACATGGAGCAGCAGGGGACAGATGACAGCCGGACAGGGCATGGGGTACCCCAGGGGACAGCAGGACAGGCACCAACATCCTTCCAGGGAACAGAAGACAGCAGCAGAGTGCATGGGGTGCCCAGAGGACAATGGGGCAGGGTCCCTCCAGGGGATCGAGGACATCAGGATGGGCACCAAGGTCCTTCCAGGGGAGGGAGGACACTGGGATGGGCATGGGGTGGTCAGGGAACAGCAGGAAAGGCACTGGGCTCCTACAGGGGACAAGGAGGTGGCAGCAGCCCCAGGTCCAGCCTGGTGGATTCTCCCTATTCCCAAGGCCTTTTGTGCCTCAGTTTCCCTCCAGCCACCCCCTGCCCAGGGCAGGGACGGGAAGCGGGACACTGGGGAGGGACATTTTGAGCATGTGCCCCCCTCCCCCGGCTGTCTGGATTTTTTGAGCATGGCCCCCCCCCCCCCGCCTGTCTCCCCAGCACCCACACGCGCCACTTCTACGTCTCCATCCAGCCGCCTGTGGGGGAGCTCATGGCCCCTGTCTTCATGAGCGAGAACGAGTTCAAGAAGGAGCAGGGTGAGTGGGGGACGGGGACAGGGACAGGGCAGCGCACGGGCACCCGCTGCCCCAGTGCCAATGCTCACCCCCCATTTTGTCCCCTCTGCCGCCCTTGCCGTGGCCTTAGAGCACCTCGCGCGGCCGGGCGAGGGTAAGTGGCCGCTCGGCAGGCCCCTAGACTAGCTCTGCCCCCCCTCATCCCTCTCCTGCACCCCACAGCCTGTGGGTTGGGGTGACCACCCTGGCGCCAGGGTGGCCCCATGGGGTCCCTGCACAGCGTGGAGGGCTTGTGCCCCCCCCGCGCTCCCAGCACTGTGTCCAGTGAGTGGCGG